TTGTCTTTACTTCAAAGCCTGTCAAGTTCCAGGTTTTCAAGTTGATGTCAGGAGCAATGATAGCCAGGATTTGAAGACCAGGCACCTTTCTGTGTCTAATATCTCCTCTGTCTTCAGGACAGTATGTACAGTTATTACATCTGTCTTCCAGATGTGGAAACCTGAGACATAGTAATTCAAACCAAGTCCCAGATAGCAAACTGAATTTTTCTTCACTAGCAAAACTGACACTGGCCGCTGGGAATGGTGGCACACCCTTGTAATCCCCAAACTCAAAGGACAGGCAGAGCTGGGTGGTGGTGGTGGTGGTGGTGGTACAGGCCTTTAAACACCCCCACTCCCACACGCCAGGACCGCCTGGACTACAGAGTGGGAAGGGGGGGGTGAGGCAGAGGCAGAAGAACCCCCGCAAGTCTGAAGTCAGCTTGGCTGACATAGTAAATTCCAGATGTATAAGGACAGGCCCCGTCTCAAGAATGAACAAATGGAGCTATAGCTGGAAAGCTAGGCATGGTAGCAGGCACCACTATTGAGGAAGCTGCAAACACCGTTCAACGGTGGCTTGGTCAACATAGCAATTCCTGTAAAGGAAGTTTTTTGTTTGTTTGATTGGTTTTTGTTTTGGTTTTTCGAGACAGGGTTTCTCTGTATTGTTTGGAGGCTGTCCTGGAACTCACTCTGTAGACCAGGCTGGCCTCGAACTCACAGAGATCCGCCTGCCTCTGCGTCCCGAGTGCTGGGATTAAAGGCGTGCACCACCAACGCCCTGCTTAAAGGGAGTTCTTAAGAGATGCTTGGAAGGTAAGGTGTGCTGTGGCTTGCTCCTTCTCTCTTATCTCTCAGCGTTTCCCTGTGTGTCTGACCCTGGCCTTTTATTATCTAAGCCAATTAAGAACTCCTTTTACAAATATCCTAATAAAAGTCAGGTGTAGTGGTGCAGGCCTGTAATCTTAGCACTTCAGAGGTGGAGGTACCAGGGTCGGGATCACTGTCATTCTCTGCTACACAGTGAGTCTGAGGCCAGGAAGTAATAGCTAAGGTTTGGATAGTGCATAGAATGGAGTCTGTAGCAGTCTAGGCCCATTATTTGCCTATTCCTCAGGGAATTAGGCACTGTCGTGTGTCTATATACAGGGACATCCAAGGCACAGTAATCCAACTGAAGTACAGATGTAGGACTGAAGAAAAGAAACTGTAGATGGGGGAGGGAAGCAAGAAGAAAGAGGAGGCACTCAAGTTTGAGGGCAGGCAAGGCTACACAGCAAGACCTCATCTCACAAACGCCAAAATGAAGGGGGAAAAAAACAAAGCTGGGTGGTGGTGTCGCACACCTTAATCCCAGCTCTCGGGAGGCAGAGGCAAGCAGATCTCTGTGAGTTCGAGACCAGCCTGATGTACAAAAGCTAGTTCCAGGGCAGCCTCCAAAGTCACAGAGAAAGCCTGTCTCGAAAAAAAAAATCCAAATCACTATGACCAAGGCAATTTATAAAAGAGAGGGTTTGGGGGCTGGAGAGATGGCTCAGAGGTTAAGAGCATTGGCTGTTCTTCCTCAGGTCCTGAGTTCAATTCCCAGCAACCACATGGTGGCTCACAACCATCTATAATCCAATCTGGTGCCCTCTTCTGGCATGTAGACAGAACACTGTATATGCAATAAATAAATAAATCTTTAAAAAAAAAAAAGAGCCGGGCAGTGGTGGCGCATGCCTTTAATCCCAGCCCTCGGGAGGCAGAGGCAGGTGGATCTCTGTGAATTCGAGGCCAGCCTGGTCTACAGAGCGAGTTCCAGGACAGCCTCCAAAACAATACAGAGAAACCCTGTCTCAAAAAACAAAAAAAAAAATTTTTTTTAAAATAAAGAAAGAAAGGGTTTGTTTTGGGGGCTTGCCATTTCAGAGGGGTAGAGTCTACCATTGTGGAAAGCTGTAGCTGAGAGCTTATATCTTGATCTTCAAACACGAGGGGGAGAGAGGGGAGAGAGAGAGAGAGAGATGGAGGGGGAGGGAGGCAGAGAGGGAGGGAGAAAGGGAGAAGGAGGGTGCAGGGAGGGAGGGAGAGGGAGCATTAATTAGAGTGGTATGGACTTTTCAAACCTCAAAGCCTGCCCATAGTGACACACCTCCTCCAACAAGGCCACGCCTCCCTGTTCTTCCTGAGTGCTATGGTTAGAGGTGTGAGGCACCATGCCACCATACAACATATCCCACAGTAAGAGTCAGATTATGGGCAAAGCCTCCTGGCTTTAAAAGGCTACTCGCCTCCATCCAACCAGGTAAATTCCCCATGTGGAAATAGAGTTCCTTCCTCAGGGACTCACTGGTTGGGACTCTTAGAGGACAGAGGTAAGAATTCTGAGAAACGTCAGAAGTTCTTTTCCTAGGTAGAACTGATTGCAAAAGGTGAGAAAATCTAGACCTCAGGTCCAATCCCCACGGTTGGTGTTGCCACTGAGGACTTAGGGAGTTGGCATGTTGCCCAAGCTGTGCCCCGCTCTGAGTTGCTGTGAAATAGTGACTTTCAGGCCCTGTCTTGTCCTGGGGGACACCATCTTACAGAGCAGCGGTTGACTCCATCCTGAGTGCAAATACGGGGGCAGGATGACCTGCAACTCATTGTGTCTGTAGGCACGGTCACCTGACCTGCACAAACCAGGAGAACAAGTAAAACAGCCCCTGCATCCCCATGGAAACACTATACCATTGGAAGGGGGCTGGAAAGGTGGCGCAGCAGTTAAAAGCTGTAGTCAGAAGTTTCTCTGTGTAACAGCCTTGGATGTGCTGGAGCTCCATCTGTAGAGTGCTGGGATTAAGGGAAATTATGTGGCATAATGCTCTTGTACACTGTAAAGATTTGTCACTTGTATTGGTTTAAAATAAAACACTGATTGGCCAATAGCCAGGCAGGAAGTATAGAAGGGGCTACCAGACCAGGAGAATTCTGGGAAGAGACACAGTCAACCAGCCAGACATTGAGGAAGCAAGATGAGAATGCCTTACTGAGAAAAGGTGCCAAGCTCGTGGCTAAACATAGATGAGAATTATGGGTTAATTTAAGGCATAAGAACTAGTTAGTGCCGGGCGGTGGTGGCGCACGCCTTTAATCCCAGCACTCGGGACGCAGAGGCAGGCGGATCTCTGTGAGTTCGAGGCCAGGCTGGACCGACAGCCTCGAAAACAATACAGAGAAACCCTGTCTCGAAAAACCAAAAAAAAAAAAAAAGAACTAGTTAGTAATAAGTTTGAGCAATAGACCAAACAGTTTATAATTAATGTAAGCCTCTTTGAGTTTATTTGGAACTAAATGGCTGTGGGACCAGGCAGGACAGAAAATTCTGTCTACAGAAAGCACTGGCTGTTCTTTCAGAAGATCCAAGTTTGGTTCCCAGCACCCAAATGGCAACTCACAACTGGCTGTAACTCCAGAGGAATCTGATACCATCTCTGGCCTCCACAGTTACCGCACACATGCATGTAAACAAAACACACAGTCATAAAAATAAAAATTGAAAAGCAAGCCAGACATGGTGGCACACACCTTTAATCCCAGCCCTCGGAAGGCAGAGGCAGGCAGGATCTCTGTGAGTTCGAGGCCAGCCTGGTCTACAAAGCAAGTTCCAGGACAGCCTCCAAAACAATACAGAGAAACCCTGTCTCAAAAAATCAAATCAAAACAAAACAAAACAAAAGCACTAAAGGGCCAACAAGATGGTTTAGCAGGTAAAGGTACTTGTTCCCAAGCCTAATGGGCAGTGTTGGAAAGAAAAACACTTCTGCAAGTTGCTCACAGATCTCTACACAATTCCAGTGGCACCACGTGCATGGGACACACACATAGGCACACACTAGATAAATTGTTTTAAATAGAAAGATCAGGCCCATAAACTTAATGAGTGCACCAGACTATGGAAGAAGAGTACAATCTCCACACACCCACACCCATAAGAGGAAGGACCACCTAACACTGTGACGAGGCCTCAAAGGCTGGTCACCTGACCACCAGGTACATGCATCAAGGGACCAATAGGCAGAGAACGCCAGCCAGTACATTCCCATCGGTTGCTGCAGCCCACTTACATGGCTATCTGTCTGTCTATATTTCCTTCCATCCATCCGCTTTTCCACGTAGTCCTACCTCTCGCTTCCCTGTGATCCTGTGTCTTCTAGCTCACCCCCTGAGGCTCTGCTAGTCTCCAGAAGCTCTTCAGCTGGCTTATTAATATCAAACCACCTACAGTGATTCTTTGTATCTGTGTCAGCTGTTGGCCTCCATGTTCAATAAGGCTCTGCAAAAGAAACTGTTGACTGCCGACAACAGCCATGGGTGCCATCAAGGGAAACTGGGATTGCTTGGTAAATTGCAGGCAATGAAACTGACATAGCTTGCAAATTTATTGTTTTTTTTAAGGATTCTGACACACCAATCTATGTTTCTGACATAGCATATGCACACACATCTGTTTTTGGACATTTCTGTCCCATTTCCTTAACTTTCAGATGATAACTTTGACTCAACAGGCAAAATCCTACCAGAACTAACAAAGAAGATTGGGCTGAGAGCACCAGGGGGAAAAGATGGGGGCCATGGACTTTAAGAGGCAGAGAAGAGCTGGGGCATAGTGATCCCTGCCTTTAATCCTCGCCCTTGGGAAGCAGAGGCAGTCTGGTCTACAGAGCTGGTTCCAGAGCGACAAAGGGGAAAAGGAGAAAACGAGGAGGAAGAAGATGAATCTCTGAAGTACTTCTGCTTTATTTTTTTTAAGAGTCACCCTTTTAGCCCAGCATGGTGACACATATCTTTACTCTTAGCACTCGGGAGGCAGAGGCAGGAGGATCATTGTGATTTCAGGGTCACCCTGGTCTACAGAGCCAGTTCCAGGACAGCCATAGTTGTCACACAAAGAAACCCTGTCTTAAAAAACAAAATAGATAGATAGACAGACAGACAGATAGATAGAAGATAGATACATTTCTATTTAGTTATTAAAGACAAAAAAGAATCACCCTTTTAATTAGACATGGCTGTGATTTGAGGAGACAGGAGTTCAAAACCATCCTCTACTTCATAGCAAGTTCAAAGCAAACCTGAGAATTTGACCCAAACACCCACCGTGCACACACAAACATGAAGAGTCACCTTTTGTTTATTTGTTTACTTATTTTGAGAAGTTCTGGAGGGCCTGAGCTCTATTGATCGCCCGCCTCAGTGCCTGAAGTAACTTCACCTTACAAGTTCTGCTCACAGCCTTTCTTTCCCCCCAGGCTTCGCAGAGGAAGAACTCTAACCTTTGTCCCCAGGCCTGGCAGCTTGTCTGGTTAACGATCTCCTAAAAGGAGCAAAGGAACAGACATCTCTCTCTCCAAACAACCTAGTCTCTCCTCACATCCCCCGCTCTGTACTGTCACTGTAGACACACTGGAACACTCTGCCAAGTTCCACCTGTACTGGGTTCATTTTTCTGGTCAGATATTTAGCTGCTCTATCTTTAGCAAAAAGGAGTTATGCCAGCCAGAGGCACACTCCTCCCAGGGTCCCTGGTGGCCAGGACAGAACTGGGACCACTAATGTCGAGAACCTGAACACCATATGTGTCCTTCAAGGAGCACTTCCTCCAGCAATGACTTCCTCCTTGGTCCTGGTTTTTTTGTTGCTGACTCCAGGCACCGTGGCCAACCTCCAAACTGATGGTCCATGTCCAGCGTGTTGGGGAGCCGCCTTCGACCTGGAGAGCCAGCGGGAGCTGCTTCTCAGTTTGGCCAAGAAGAGCATCCTGAACAAGCTGCACCTCAGCCAGCGCCCCACACTGAGTCGGCCTGTGTCCAGAGCGGCTCTGAAGACCGCACTGCAGCGCCTCCATGGGCCTCGTCGACAGGAAACCGTGCTGGAGCATGACCCGACACAAGAATATGAGATCATCAGCTTTGCTGAGACAGGTAGGTCCATGGCCGGCATCTCTGACCCCAAACCTCACCCTGCAAAGAGAAAGTCTCTTCCCCAGCTTCACTGTGAATGCCTCTCCCAAGCCATCCGGCTCCTGCCTCACACAGTCTACGTCTGCATCCTGAGTTCCCACTCCCAGTTCTCCATGACAGGTCACATCCACCTGGTAGGAGCTGGGGGCTGTTAAGTTTCACTTCTTCTGAAGCTGCTTGTCTTTGTCCCCTCTGCCCCCCCCCTCTGAGCCCATAACCCTCCCAGTGTGAACCTGCCCATTCCCCAAGCCAAGAGCTGGTTATTGGGGATTTGTGATTTCTCTGGCCCCAGGATCCATCACTTGTATCTTCTCTTCCTCAAGAGTAACTCGTTGGCTGGCGCACGAGGTGGTGGCGCATGCCTTTAATGCCAGCACTCAGGAGGCAGAGGCAGGCGGGTCTCTATGAGTTCAAGGCCATCCTGGTCTACAAGAGCTAGTTCCAGAACAGCCTTCAGAGCAGCAGAGAAACCCTGTGTCGAAAAACAAAAAAAACAACAACAAAAAAAGAGTAACCCGTTGATGTAAAAGGTGAGGAGGTAAAACAGCAAGATTATAATACCTCTCCTATATACCTGAGGTCCTCACGTTAGATCCAGGCCAAACAGTACTCAGAAAGAGTAAAGAAACTCAGGCTTGGGCCAGGTGTGATAACGCACACCTTTATTAATACCAGCACTCTGGGAGATAGATCTCTGAGTTCAAGGTCAGCCAGTGATAGACAAGACCCTGTCTCACAAATAAACTAACTAAATACATTTTTTTGAAAAATTCAGTAAACTTGGTGAGATGGTGCATGTCTTTAATCCTAACACTCGGGAGGCAGAGACAGGCAGATCTCTTGAGTTTGAGTCCAGCCTGGTCTACAGAGCGAGTTCCAGGACAGCCAAGGCTACACAGAGAAGTCCTGCCTTGGAAAGAACAACAAAAGGATAAAGGGTAGAGGAAAGAATTACTTCCACAGAGAAGAGCACTAGAGAGAAGATGAGGAAATGTTAGCACTTGGAAACAAAACGCAAGGCCACTGCAAGTTCCCTCTTAGGTCTGGGTTTTGCCACTCCCCACCCGGTCCTGACCCCTCTCCCTGGTGGCTGGTACCCAGTCTCCTCCTGGAGACCCAGCACAAACTCTGCAGCCATGTAGCCTGGGCTCCCTGCAGAGACACTTCAGCTGAGTGACCTGGGTGGTTAGTTAATGCCAGTTTTCTCATCCGTAAATGAGGATAATAAGAGCGTAGCTTAGAGATGTAAATAGGTTAATACATATAAAGTGCTTAGGATGCCAAAGAGTAGGAGGGAGCGTCCTGTCCAGCAAGGATCTCCCCTCTCTGTATCTTCACAGGAACGAAAGAGAAGAAACTCTCTGAAGTTTCTAACAGGAGAGGAATACCCCCTCCGGGGCTCCACCCCCATGACCTAATACCTCCCCGAGGCTCCACCCCCATAACCTAATAATTCCCCGAAGGCTCCACCTCCTAATACTCTCACCTTGGCATCCGGATTTCAGCACGATTTGTTTTTTCTTTTTTGAGCCAGGGTCTCCTTACGTAGCCCAAGCTGGTTTGGAACTTAGAACATAGCTCAGATTGTCCAAACGCTCCTGACCTTCTTGTCTTAGCATCTTGAAATGCTGGAATTACTGACCCAGCTTCAACAAACGAATTTTGAGGGGGCAGAAGAAAAAGAATCTTTCTCCGTGAAACTTCCGATCACTCTAGCCCAACCCTCTTTAAACACGGTGGCTGGGCTCCAAGAGGGCAATTGCAGTGTAAACCACTGTCCAGCCTCTGCATACACTTTGCTTACTTTTGTCCCGTGGACAAAGCATGTCACTGCGGCTAAATCCGGAAACTGGAGGGTGGAACAGGATAAAATCATGCAAACCTGGAGGTGTTCATTGAGGGCTGCCAATATAGCAATCTACCATAATCTATCCTCTGGCCCTAACTATTCATTTCCTTCCCTCTCCCACATACAAAAGACAACCACCCTCCTGATTCTCCCGTGTCACATTTCCATCCGTTATAACCTTAGGATCTCATCACCTAAATCAAGAGTCTAAATCATGAGGCTGCTAAGGTACTTTTCTCAAGGTTCAGGGATCTTCAGTGTTGTCCTAAAACTGGCACATGCTGCCTATGACAGCTGGTGGTGAACATATCTGGGTTCAGTTATGTCACATTAGAAGCTTAAAATTGGACCTCATGGAAGAATTTTTCTGGAGAACTGTTGATCACTGCAAATCAGGGCTTTTAAGGATCCCAGTTGTTCAATGTTTACTAACACACCACTGCCCGTGTCCTATAAATAATTTACATCTTCCCCCTACCTACTGAACACAATGCTGGGGCTAAGACCAGGACAGGGTAACACCACAGACGTTCCCCTTCAGGAGGGTATGGGGGAACGGGCCACAGAGCAGCCAGTGGTCCATAAACACTGCTCTCTGATAGGTCTTGCTGGCCTTCATCTCATGACCCTTTCTTTTTTCTTTTTTGGTTTTTGAAACAGGGTTTCTCTGTGTAGCACTGGTCTGCCTCTGCTTCCCAAGTGCTGGGATTAAAGGTGTGCGCCACCACCACTGGGCAAATAATAGGACCTTAATAACCACAGAGTCAAAAGAAAAGGAAGGAAAAATGATTTTATTTTTCAGTCTTTCCAGTCCTTTTAGAAGTATTCTAAGTTCTGCTAGGAAACTGAGTAGGGTTGTGTGTGTGTGTGTGTGTTGTTTCTTTGAAACTGAGTAGGGTTGTGTGTGTGTGTGTTGTTGTTTCTTTGAAACTGAGTAGGGTTGTGTGTGTGTGTATGTTGTTGTTTTGTTTCTTTGAAACTGAGTAGGGTTGTGTGTGTGTGTGTTGTTTTGTTTCTTTGAAACTGAGTAGGGTTTGTGTGTGTGTGTGTGTGTGTGTGTTGTTGTTGTTTCTTTGAAACTGAGTAGGGTTGTGTGTGTGTTGTTTTGTTTCTTTGAACCAGGGCCTCCTTCTGTAGTCCAGGCTGCCCCAGAACAAAGTAGCCCAGAGGTTGGCCTCCTACTCACAACAATCCTCCTGCCTCAGTCTCCCAAATTCTACAAGAATTACAGGTGTGAACCACTGCTCCTGGCTTTCTGTCTCCCCGACCTCCCTCCAACTCATGTCTCCTGAAATGCCTTATCACAGGAAGCTAAAATAAGACGATCGGCATTTTCAGCATTCTACCAGGAAATCTCTCCAGCTGAAGTCACAACTTAGAAATGGTTTCTGGCTTCCAAGTTATACTACAGGTGACAGACAGCCCATAACTCAAGCTCCTCTTCATCCAACTTCCACAGCAGCCTCCTCACTTCCATCTTTGCTAACAGTCTTTTCTCTATCCTTCTAGACTTTGCCTGCCACTGAGTCCCAAAGTCAATGCTGCAAATTTTAGGTTTAGGTTATGGTGGTAGCACCCCACTTCTGATACACATTCCTTTTCCTGTCACTTGTTAGTATTATATACCAACATAAAATGGTCTTGCTGCTGCCAATCAATCTCAGTTATCACACATACTAGGCAGCTGCTCTACCACTTGAACTACACCTCAGCCCTAACAAAATTTTTTATATTTTAAAAAATAATTTAAATTTTATTTTATGTGCATTGGTGTGAAGGTGTCAGATGCAGGGTAACTGGAGTTAGACAGTTGTGAGCTGCTGTGTAGGTGCTGAGAATTGAACCCATGTCCCCTGGAAGAGCAGCCAGTGGTCTTAACTGCTGAGCCGTAGCAGGGCACTGGTAGCGCATGCCTTCAATCCCAGCACTCGGAGGCAGAGGCAGGCGGGTCTCTGTGAGTTCGAGGCCAGCCTGGTCTACCGAGCGAGTTTTCCAGGACAGCCTCTAAAACAATACAGAGAAACCCTGTCTCGAAAAACCAAAAAAAATGTCTGGTTCTGAAGAGCACAAGATCTAAGTGTATGTAAATCATTATCAAACTGCTTGCTGATGTCTCACTGACTAAACCATTGTAAGTCCAGAATCTATAAGAGCTGGGCTTTGGTGGCACATGCCTTTAATCCCAGCACTCAAGAGGCAGAGGCAGGTGGATCTCTGAGTTTGAGGCCAACCTGGTCTACAGAGTGAGTTCAACGAAAACCAGGGCTACACAGAGAAACCCTGTCTTGAAAAACCAAAAAAGAAGAGGAGGAGGAGGAAGGAAGGAAGGGAGGGAGGGAGAAGATACCTTAGTAGGGAAGGTGAGAGATGAGGGTGAAAGTCTAGTTTGGACTACGTGAGCCATGGTCTCAGAGAAGGGAGGAAAAAAGGTATACTGAGAACAGAAAGGTAGAAGGCTGCAATGACTTGACTAGGGTTTCTTATGTTCACAGGCCTCTCCAGCGTCAACCAGACTCGTCTTGATTTCCACTTCCCCGACAGAACTGCTGGTGGCTTGGAGGTCCAACAGGCCCACCTCATGTTCTTTGTGCAACTCCCTTCCAATGCCACTCAGACCATGAATATGCGAGTCCTTGTGCTAAGGCAATATGACACCAACCTCACCTTGACAAGTCAGTACCCGCTGCAGGTGGATGCCAGTGGCTGGCACCAGCTTCTCCTGGGGCCTGAAGCTCAGGCTGCTTGCAGCCAGGGGCACCTGACTCTGGAGCTGGTAACTGAAAGCCAGGCAGCCCACCGTTCAGTCATCCTGGGTGGGTTTTCTCACAGACCGTTTGTGGCAGCCCGGGTAAGAGCCGGACACAAGCGTCGGGTTCACCGACGAGGCATCAACTGCCAGGGAGGGTCCAGGATGTGCTGTCGACAAGAGTTCTTTGTAGACTTCCGTGAGATTGGCTGGCATGACTGGATCATCCAGCCTGAAGGCTATGCCATGAACTTCTGTACTGGGCAGTGCCCGCTACATGTGGCAGGCATGCCTGGCATCTCTGCCTCCTTTCACACCGCAGTGTTCAATCTACTCAAAGCCAACACAGCTGCTGGCACCACCATAGGGGGCTCATGCTGTGTGCCCACAGCTCGGCGTCCTCTGTCTTTGCTCTACTATGACAGGGACAGCAACATTGTCAAAACGGACATACCTGACATGGTGGTAGAGGCCTGTGGATGCAGTTAGCTTATGTGTGATATAGGCAGCCTCAGGTAGAGCAGGGAAACGCATCTTACAAAGAAGGCCTTCCTCAAAAGGAGGGCGTGACTATGTTCCCTCCTCTGTCCACATAACCACCTTTTCTAAGCATGCAGACCACCCTCTGTTGACTCCAGGAGACTTACATCTAAAGAGAGACACCCATGACCACCTCTTTCTTGGGACATGGTTGATCACACCCCTCATTCCCAACCTTCATCCAAGGGCTAATCCACCGCCAACCACAAGCAACATCGTTTGGTTCCCAGCAAAGTTACTCCTTGCTCACCCTTAACCAATGATGTCATTTACTCTGCTTCCTGCCCTGCCAAGTAATGGCTCCCACTCCATGATGACATGCCCTAGCATCTTCCCTTGAAGTCTCTGGTGCTCCAAAGAACCCCTTCCTTGGGTTGACCAGATGGCTGTTTTCCAAAGTGAGACCCTTGCCCAAACGCTCTACTAATACTGTTTGTGTAGCCTCCAGTGTTCTGTCTTCCTCTGCCTGTGAAGGCTGTTGCCCCAGGGCCACATCATCCGAGCTCTCCTATCTTCTAGCTTCCAGCTGAATTTGACCAAAGGGAGACTCGGGTTAGAGACTAGAGGCTGGGGAGTTACAAGGTCAGAAAACTACATCATGCACAAGGTCTCACACCTATAATCCCAACACTTAAGGTGCTTCCTACAGGTTGAGGTCAGCTAGTTCTTAGGCTAGCCTGGGCTACACTGTTAAGACCTTGTTGTATCATGAATAATAAAAACCCAGAGACAGATATTGGGGTTCAAGCTGAAGATCAGAGAAGCAAAGTGGCCAGCCAACTAGCTCTTACCTCTACCTCAGATTTTGGGAGTGGGGTGATCCTAGCTCCACAAATCCTTAGCATGGCTGGAGACTGAATCTCCTAGAACTGAATCTCACATGAGACCCTTTGCTTCTTCCTTATCTACCTCTCCAGTGCTGGGATTAAAGGCGTGAGCTCTGTTTCTCTTTTAGACTGATTCACTCTCATGTAGCCCAGGGTGGTTGGTCTTGGACTCACAGAGATCCATCAACCTCTGTCTCCTGAGTCCTGGGAATCCCAGCACTTGGGAGGCAGAGGCAGGCGGATCTCTGTGACTTTGAGGCCAGCCCGATCTACAGAGTGAGTTCCAAGACAGTCTCTAAAACAATACAGAGAAACCTGTCTCGAAAAAAAAAAGAGTGTGTGCCAAGTGCTATCACTTCCCAGCTTCTATGGCTATGGCTGGCTTTGCATTCTGATCTTCAGTGTCTTTATTAGATCATAAATAATATATCACCACACCTTGTTACAAAGGAAAGGAAGGAGCAAAAAAAATTTTCCTATTCCCACTCCCCACTTGTTTGCAGATTGTGACTCTGTGTATCCGTGGTTGTGCTATATCACATGGCTCCAGGTTTTGGGGTTCCAATATCATTATTTCAGCATAAAAAAACCCAGATGGCTTGCCCTTTTTCTGGTCCCCTATGTTTGAAGATCCCCCACCTTTTTTTTCCCCGATTCGCTATGTAGCGCAGGCTTGCCTAGAAATCACAGAGCTCCTTCACCACCATGTCCAGCCTTGAACATTATTTTTGTTGGGTCTCTTCTCCCTACCTATGACCCTGTGGCTCCTTCACTAAGTCCTCTTGAGGCAGCTCAAAATGTCCTGTCTCCTACTGGGACATTCCCGACACCCAAGACAATGGGATCCTTCTCTTCACATGATCCCCTCCAGCTTCGTTGTTCCATACATCTGACATTTCATGCCTCATCCTCCTCCAGGCTGCCTCCTCTTCCTTAATCTTCCTCCGTCCTTCCAGAACTATCTTCCAACGGTATCACAGCTAATAATGAACTAGCTGTTGCCTGAATCTCATCTCACTCTTACTCCAAGAGCTGAGACAGATCAGCATTCAATTACCAGGTAAGCCAGCCCTGGCCACGCAGGGCGGGAGGCAGAGCATGCTCAGAGCTGGTTGTTGAACTTTGGTTCCCCTCCCTTTCACCCACTCCTAGAGCTTCAAACATGAATCCCACCCAGAAGCGTAAGTGGGGCAAGAAGAGGGCGTAGGACAGAGAGGGCAGCGTTTGCTGAGATCTGGTCCTCTTTCAACCTTTGTCCTTCTTTCCTCACTGTCCCCTCCCTTTGGCTGGACAGCCCTGAACCATGGGGTCGATATCGTCTGCAGCCCAAGGCCAGGTTTGCGCAAAACCCATGTGTCCTTTGAGTAATGTGATGTCTGTGTTTGCTCAGCATATAATCCCTTCCTACCAGGGTAAGAGGTCCCTGCCGTGGAAACACAGAAGAGAAAGCCTGCAAGGGACCTTTTGGGGGCTGCAAGCCTAAGCTGCGGGGTTTCCCGAGCAGCCTGTGGGAGTCGTTCTATCTGGGAGACTACAGCGGTTTCAGGGTGTTTCTATCTGGGAGACTACAGAGGTTTCAGGGTGTCTCCTCTCCCTCTTTCCCGTGTGTCCCACTCTCATCCCTGTCTCAGCCCCATTTTCTCCCTCATGGTGACAGTGCCCAGGCCCAAGGCCAGGGTAAGCTTGGTACAGTGAGGCACTCTCCTGGATGGGAAAATTTTAAGGTGAAGGCAAACAATTCATCAATGGAGAAAGCCAGCATTTTAATGAAGGATTTTCAAACAGTGAATGCTGCAAATCACGATGAACAAAACAGCATATTTAAAAATAAACGTGGGCTCCATGCTATTCACTTTCTTTTTTTGGCTTCTGTTTTTTGTTTTAAAAAGGGGGGTGGGGAGGATGGAGGAACCTGTCATCGCCTAAACATTTTCTCCCTGAGCCCCTACCTCTTGACTCCTTCAGGAAGTTCTCATTTGGGCGAAACAGTGTCCCTGCCTCTTCTATTTCCTTCCCCCCTCTCAAGCCTGTCGCTACCCCCAGCCCCCAGCCAGCTTGGTGGCAAGGCGGGCGGGCGGGCAGTGTGGCAGATGCCGGGGTATTTATAACCTGGAAGCACTTCTTGGGAAAGTGACTAAGATGCTAAGAGCGTATTTATAGCTAAGCTCTGATGTAAGTGTCAGTGGGGAGGTAGGACCAGGCCAGGCACAACAGCAAAGGGGTGGGAAAAAACGGGAAATCATGGGCGCCTGACAGGAGGGTGTTGGAAAGGTGGCACCAGTGCCTCCTACAGCCATTTTTTTGCTACGTCCCCTGAGCCCAATTCCTGGCGCAAACAAGTAAGGCCTCCTAGGCACCGCCAGAAGTGGGCACTTACAGTCTCATGATCCAGATCCCCCAGGGACTATCAGGCTGTCACTCACCTGCAGTGACCAACAGAGGAACCAAGAGTTACAGAAAGCAGTGGCCAAAAGTCTTCAGCGTGTTTCCAGGCCTGGGGAGAGATGCAGACAGACAGAACCATCTCCTAATCCTTTCTCCCCCCCCTCTCCACTCCATGGCACCCTGGATTTCTAGGCCTCTACCATCGGGCTCCATTGCCATGTGTCAAAGGTGGCCGGGATGCAGTGTGCAGGACTTCCTCTGTTGTCTGGCAGTGGTGGAGCCGAGGAGCCATCCCCTTCCCGTTGTCTGGGAGGGAAGCAGGATGGTAAGGGAGAACATGAGGCATATTCCTGGGCTCCCCAGAAGCCTCAACCCTGTCCCTGAGAGTCATGGCTGCTGCCCAGAGGCTGCTGTCCCGTGGTGGGACTGCCACATGCTGGACGCCGGTGGTACTGAGGCAAGGCCTTCAAAACTTTCCTTTCCCCTGGTCCAGAATTGGAACTCTCCAGGCAGCCCCACCAGCTGAAGAGGAAGATGGGGATGTGGGGGGGCTCTAAATCACACCTCTTTTGTTCACACCCTTCTCACCAATGCCTCCCAGCTTCTTATCGAAACTGGGGCCCGAGGAGAAAAATCTAGCCAGATACCACTCTCTTGAATCAGAGGTACAGGGTCACTCCCATTTAAAGGCATGCACCTTATGGCTGGCTACACAGCTCAGTGGTAGGGTACTAGACTAGCGTGTGCAAAACCCTGGTTTCAGCCCTCAGCACGGAATAAAAGCCAGGTGTGGTGGGCGGCTCTTACCTTTAATCCCAGTACTTAAGAACAGAAGCTGAAGGTCAGCCTTATCGACACAGGGAACTGAAGGTCATCCTTGGTTACAGAGGGAGTGATAAATCAGCCTAGAATACAGGGGAGTCTGACTTAGACAACACTGACAAGACAAAGCAACTCACCATAGTCTTGCCACTAAGGAGGCTGAGACAGGAGAAGGATCATCGACTTGCTCTTAGGAGTACTAGCCAACCTAGCTAACATAGAAACAGTTCATCTCAAAAGACAAAAAACAAGTCGGGCGTTGGTGGCGCACGCCTTTAATCCCAGCACTCGGGAGGCAGAGGCAGGCGGATCTCTGTGAGTTCGAGGCCAGCCTGGTCTACAAAGTGAGTTCCAGGACAGCCTCCAAAGCTATAGAGAAACCCTGTCTCGAAAAACCAAAAAAAAAAAAAAAAAAGACAAAAAACAAAACAAAACAAACATTAACAACAATAATAAAACCAGTCTGACTGGCGTGAAAGAAAAATCTAGGCAGTAGTGGCACATGGCTTTAATACTGACACTCAGGAGGCAGAGGCAAGCAGATTTGAGGGCAGCCTGGTCTGCAGAATGAGTTCGAGGACAGCCAGGGCTACACATAGAAAGTGTGTGTGTGTGTGTGTGTGTGTGTGTGTGTGTGTGTGTGTGTGTGTGTGTGTAGGGGGGTTAGGGAGTGGTGGGGGAGGGGAGAAAGGAGTCAGAGACTGGGAGATGACTCAGAAGGTAAAGCTAGGCCTTGCAAGCACAAGGCCTGCATTACAGTCTCCAGGTAGAAATGGGAACACGAGCTCATGATCCCAGCGTTGGGGAGGCACAAAGAGAAGACAGTTTTCCTGGGATTCGGTGACCAACCAGTCTAGCCTAACTGATGAGTTCCAGACTAAAGTAGATGAGTGATATTCCCGAGGGTGGCACCCAGGGCTGTCCTCCAGCTTCCGCGCACATGCGCATGCATGCACACGCACACACACTACACACACAAAACCAAAAGCCAGTGGAGAGTGCTGGGCGGCTGGGCGATGAGGAGCTAAGGCTGCCTTGCCTTTCCTGCTCTGTTCTCTACATCCCTTAAGCTTCCCATTTTCCAACCACGCCGACGGAGGCCTGGCACCACCCCTGGGATGCTTTAGAGCCGGCCAACTCCTACAGTTGGCCCTGAAGACAAGTGGTCACTGGGCACAGGCTCTGCAGAGCACATGCCCCTCTGCCAGCCTCGATGGACTCTGCCCTGCCGAGCTGTCAGCTTGTGTCACTGCTACCCCCACTTCTCTGGGTTTCCCCAGGCATCGCAGAAGCACGTCCTCACCCTTGCTCTGGCCCTCTCCCAGTTGGACTCTGGGCAGCCAGCACAGGCAGGGTCAAAAGGTAACTTCTATGTGCCGTGGCACTGCCACCTTGGCCTGAGAAAGAGGACTCTAATTTTCCTACCACCCCTTCCAAACTCTCACCCTATTTCCTAGAAATGGAGGCCAGAATTCTTCTGTCTGGAGATTCCCGGAGAACTAACCATTGGTACCCATGGCTGCCTCAAAACTGTTACGGAAGTCATGGGCAAACTGGGAAGACAGGAGGCGTTAGGAGTCGCCCATCCCCACCTGACTCCTATGGAGTCCTTACTCTGGTCCCAGACCTTGGGAACTGAGCATATGAAATCTCCCTATTTCTTGCATCATGCGTGTCCACATTGTACTCCCCCACCCATACCCCTACCTCATGCCACCACAGCCAGATGGTGAAACTCGAGCCCAGGGAAGACCTCCACGCCCTAAAGGGGCTGTGATGGGCAGCACAGCTGGCCAATCCTAAGGCTCAGAGGTTGGGTCTGCTGGCTGACCACTAGGTAAGGGAGCCCAAGCAGCTGGCTCTAAAGAGGCCCTGCTCAGTGGTCAGTGGTCAGTTATGAGTGGTGAGTGCCAAATATAGCTGCCCATCAGATGAACTCTCAGGCATCCTGAGCCCCAGCCGTGGAGGACAAGTAGCTCTGCCCTTTATCAAGAGAAGCTGTGACACTGTCTGTCCTGCTGCTGCACCCGCTTTGGCTTATTCAATTGCCACCCGGAGCTCTCAACTCAGTCAGGGCCATCTACTCGGAGCATGGGGCTTTCAGATGTCCAGCTCTGGCCAGTGCTACTGTGGGCATTGGCATGGTTGCAGAGCACAAGATCTGCATGCCCGTCCTGTGGGGGCCCGACCCTGGCACCCCAAGGAGAACGTGCTCTGGTTCTGGAGCTGGCCAAGAAGCAAATCCTGGAGGGGCTGCACCTGACCAGCCGTCCCAGAGTAACTCGCCCTCTGCCCCAGGCAGCACTAGCCAGAGCTCTCCGGAGACTGCAACCCCGGAGCGTGGCTCCTGGCAACCAAGAGGAAGTCATCAGCTTTGCCACCATCGTAGGTGGGTGAGGGGAAAGAGACAGGCAAGTGGAGGAAGGAGGGGAGTCCTGCCAGAGAGGCAGGAGGAGTGGGGTGTGGCAGGAGAAGGAGGAGCTGAGGACAAGGATGGTTGTGAGACAGTACAGGCTCTTCCCAGAGATCTGAGTGAGGGACGGTGCTGGGCAGGGTGCAGGAGTGTCAAAGGGAAGCTTTGTCTCTGTTCACATTTTTCTTTGCTTTTTTTTTTTTTAATCGTTCGAGCAGACAAATCCACTTCAACCTACCGCTGCATGCTCACCTTCCAGCTGTCCCCGCTTCGGTCCCACCACCTGTATCACGCCCGCCTCTGGCTGCATGTGTCCCCGTCCTTCCCTGGCTCGCTCTACCTGAGGATCTTCCGTTGCGGCACCAGGAACTGCCGGGGATCCCGCACCTTCCTAGCCGAGCACAGAATGACTTCCTCGGGCTGGCACGCCCTAACTCTGCCCTCTAGCGGCCTGCGGAGTGAGCATTCTGGAGTCGTGAAGCTCCAGCTGGACTACAGACGCCCAGACCCTAACAGCACTGTCGTTCCACGGCCACGCAGACTCTTGGACACGGAGGGACAGCTGCGTCCCTTCTTGGAACTTAAGATCCGAGCTAATGAACCCGGAGCAGGCCGGGCCAGGAGGAGGACCCCCACCTGTGCGCCTGAGACCCCCTTATGTTGTAGGCGAGACCACTATGTAGACTTCCAGGAGCTGGGGTGGCGGGACTGGATCCTGCAGCCCGAAGGATACCATCTGAATTATTGCAGCGGGCAGTGCCCGCCACACCTGGCTGGCAGCCCTGGCATTGCTGCCTCCTTCCATTCAGCTGTCTTCAGCCTGCTCAAAGCCAACAACCCCTGGCCTGCGGGTTCTTCCTGCTGTGTCCCCACTGCCCGAAGACCTCTCTCACTCCTCTACCTCGACCATGACGGCAATGTGGTCAAGACCGATGTGCCAGACATGGTAGTCGAGGCCTGTGGCTGCAGCTAGCAAGAGGACCTGGAGGTTCTGAGTGAAGTTCAAGGATCAAGTTGGAGGTTCCCTGGCAAAAGACTCCTGTGTCTGGAAGCTTGAGATTTGCCGACCCATGCAGACATCCAACAGGCTACCTGGCGGTGTGACTGGGTTTGACCCCCATGGAAATCACATGGGCATTTTCTTGCCCTAGATTCCCGTCTATTTCAGGCTGTTGCAAGTGTGGACAGATGGGTAAACTGTTTCCTCTCCAGGGGACTGTCTGGCCAGCACCATTTCCTACATTGAGCCCTGTTCCACGACAGCAGGGGATGTCATGGGAGGGAAAGATGGAGGCAGGGGAAAATTACTTAGTCTCTCCCCAGAAAGGAAATCCCTCTTGTGATGCAGTAGGAAGCAGAAGGCCCAGCAGGTTGGGAGAGGGCGAAGAAGCAGGCTAAGAACAGGGTCTATTGCCTGGTTGAAGCCGTGTCAAGAGGAAGATGAGCAAGGTAGCAGGGGGTGAGTCACGGGAATTGAATGTTAGTAAGAAGAGATGCTGGGCCCATGAAGTTCCCTAGCTTCCCCTCGAGGACAAGACTCATATGGAAGACATAATTTATATTTTCTTAATAAAAACGAGAAAGAAAAGCAATAGTGCCATAAACAAAGGGTGCTCTGAGGACCTCTGGCAAGTCCCCAAAGCCCTCTCTCAGAGGTTTTGAAAGCACTTTCATAATAATACTAAGATGCCATTTGCGTTGCACAGTGTGGACAGGGTGTGGTGGTTTGCACTTATAATTAAAGCATTCATGAGACTGAGGCAGGAGGATCATCATGAGTTCAAGATCACCAGAATTCAAGACCGTGAATTCTAGGCTGGCTTGAGCTACTGAGATCCTGCCTCAAAGCAAACAAATGCACACAGTGGAGTTTTCCAGAGCATGCTAGATGATACAGCTGATTATATCACTGCTGAGAGATTAGGAGCTTGTCTATTCTTTTCCTTCCTCTCCTTTAAAATTTTTTACTTATAGTTGGGCCGTGGTGGTGCACGCTTTTTTTTTTTTCCCGAGACAGGGTTTCTCTGTATTGCTTTGGAGGCTGTCCTGGAACTCACTCTGTAGACCAGGCTGGCCTCGAACTCACAGAGATCCACCTGCCTCTGCCTCCCGAGGGCTGGGATTAAAGGCGTGCACCACCAACGCCTGGCCGGTGGTGCACGCTTTTAACTCCAGCACTCGGGAGGCAGGGGCAGGCAGATCTCTGTGATTTCAAGGCAAGCTTGGTCTAGTCTCTGTGAGTTCGAGGCCAGCCTGGTCTACAGAGTGAAGTCCAGGACAGCCAGGGCTGTTACACAGAGAAATTGTGTCTCAGGGGGAAAACAAAAAAAAAAGGAGAGAAATTGTATTTATTTTATGTGAGTCTTCTGCCTGCATACAGTGCAGTACCTGTGGAGGTCAGGAGAGGGCGCTGGATTCCCTGGAACTGGAGTTACAGACCCTGTTCTGTGTTATCTGCTCCCTGAGTGCCGAGCAGAACTCAGAGCCTCAGTAAGAGAAATGCGTGTGTCTAATGGCTGAGCCATCGCTCCGCCTTTCCCCACAAACCTTTTTGTTGTTGCTGTTTGTTTTTGAAACAGCCCATTCTAGCCTGGAACTCTTAATCCTCCTGCCTCAGTGATGGAATTAAGGCATATATCATCACACCTAGCAACGTGTTCTCATTACCATACTTCTCGCCTTTAAATTTTAACACAATACTGATATATGGAAGTCACACATAAAAGAGTATCAATTCTTTTTCTCAAATATTAAGGAAAAGGTACTGGAGAGTTGGTTCAGTAGTTAAGAGTACCTATGGAACTTGATTTCAACTCCTAACTCCCATGTTAGGCGGCTCACAAACTATCTGTAACTCCAGCCCTGTGGATCCAATGCTCTGACCTTCAAGGGCGCCCACACTCACATATACACACCCTACAATTAAAAGTAAAAATGAGCCTGGCCGTGGTGGCATACGCCTGTAATCCCAGCACTCGGGAGGCAGAGGCAGGCGGATCTCTGTGAGTTTGAGACCAGCCTGGACTACCAAGTGAGTTCCAGGACAGCCTCCAAAACCACAGAGGAACCCTGTCTCGGAAAAAAAAAGAAAAAAAAAAAAAAGACAGTGTTGCTCACAGAGGACAGAGGTTGGTGGCTCAGCAATCGAAACTCCAGCTCCAGGGAACCTGGCACCTTCTTCTGACCTCCATAGGAAGCAGACATGTATGCTGTACACATACGTGCGTGCAAGCAAAACACTCATGCACATAAAATCCAGTAGATAAATCTAAAATTACTTCAGTTAAGAGAGGCTGGGGGCAGTTCATTAGGTGAAGATCCTGACACACAAGACAGGATTTGTATTGGATTCACCAGTACCTGTGTAAAATACTTGGGTGGAGACATCTGTGACCTCATTACTGGAGAGAAGGCTACCTGAATCGATGCATACCAAGTACACAGAGAGAACCTGTCTCAAAAAAAAAAAAAAAAAAAAGACGGCTGGCTAGCTGGATGGTGTACTAAGATGTTTTTCCTCTTTGCTTTCTTTTTTTAATCTCTTTTGGGGAGCCCACCACCCAGTTCCCAAGTAAATCACACACGGAGGCTTATTCTTAGTTGTGAGTGTCCGGCTTTAGCTTGGCTTGTTCTAGCCAGCTTTTCTATTTCTTTATTTTATTGTTACTATTATTATTATTATTTGGTTTTTTTGAGACAGGGTTTCTCTGTGGCTTTGGAGGCTGTCCTGGAATTAGCTCTGTAGAGCAGGATGGTCTTGAACTCACAGAGATATGCCTGCCTCTGCCTCCCCAGTGCTGGGCCACCACCCAGCTCTAGCCAGCTTTTCTTATCTTTAAATTAACCCATCTGCCTTTTCCCTGTGGGCTTTTATCTTTCTTACTCCTATTGTATATCTCAATTTCCTTCCCACTCCGTGGACTGCTGGTTCGCTGGGTGCCAGATGACCGGGTGGCTGGAGGGCTGGTCTGAGAAATCCTCCTCTCCTTTTTCTCTCCTTGCTCCTCTTCTGCCTTTCTCCTTCTATTTATCCTCTCCACTGCCAGCCCCGCCTATCTTGCTCCTCCTTGCTATTGGTTCAGCTCTTTATTAGACCACCAGGTGTTTTAGGCAGGCAGAGAAATACAGCTTCACAGAGTTAAGCAAATGCAGCATAAACCAAAGCCACACACCTGAAAACAATATTCTACCACAGGGTGGTGGCGTCACACACCTTCATTCCTAGTATTCAAAAGGGAGAGGCAGGCAAATCTCTCAGTTCAAGGTCAGCCTGGAGTACAGAACAAGTTCCAGGACAGCCAGGGCTACACAGAGAAACCCTGTTTTGAAAAACAAAGAACAAAAACCAAACCAACCAAACAACAACAAAAAAGAACTGCTGGGCGTTGGTGACGCACGCCTTTAATCTCAGCACTCTGGAGGCAGAGGCAGGCGGATCTCTGTGAGTTCAGGGCAGCCTGGTCTACAGAGGGACTTTCAGGACAGGCTCCAAAGCTACAGAGAAACCCTGTCTCAGAAAAAAAAAAAAAGGTGGAGAGTCAATGAGGACTCTGCATGTAAGGCAGCTGCTGCCTGAGTACCTGGCTACACCACAGGCTGCCTGGAGAGAAGCAACTCGTGCAAGCTGTCGTGTGGGTTGAGTGAAATCCCCCAGGGGCTCATCTATTTGAATACTTAGTCCCAGTTTGTGGAACTCTTTGGGAAGGATTGTTCTAGTATTAATAATAATAATAATAACAATAATAACAGAGAGTCAGAAATTACGATAAAAACCTGTTAAATCCAAAGCACAGTGGAGGAGCCATCAGCAGAGCCTACTCTGTTTCCCAGATGAAAAACCATCGAAATCTCTCCAAGGCCCTTTTATCTCTTCCTGTCCCTCTCTATCTGCTTCCCTTGGTCCTCCAACATATCTGTGGCTAATTCCGGTCAGCCAATCACTGGCTCTGCTTTCTGATTCAACATGTAAGTTTTTTAAGGAGTCCTGGAGGGGGCTGGAGAGTTGGCTCAGAGGATATGAACACTGGCTGCTCTACCAGAGGTCCTGAGTTCAATTTCCAGCAACCACATGGTGGCTCACAACCATCTGTAATGAGATCTGGTGCCTTCTTCTGGCCTGCAGGGATACATGCAGGCAGAATGCTGTATACATAATAAGTAAATATTAAAAAGAAAAAAAGAAGTCCTGGAGTGTCCGTGGGAACAAATATTACACAACAGCGTCCTTGTGAAAGGAGATGCATCGGAGATGCATCTCTGTGGCAGACTTTGAGGTTTCAGAAGTGCTTGTCATTTCCTTTTCCAGTTTGTTCTCTCTTCCTCTTGTGTCTCAAGATGTAGCTCTCAGGGGCTGCTTCGGTGTCATGCCTGCCTGCCTGCCTGTTGCCATGCTGCCCACCACGATGGTCATGGACTCACTCTCTGAAACTGTGAGCCCCAAGTTAACACTTCCTGTTGTAAGTTGCCTTGGTCATGCAACAGACTGTAACTAAGTCAGTTGTCTGAGTTCTCCAAGTTGTCCCCCACCTGGTGCCCTCTTCTGGCCTGCAGGAGTACATGCAGGCAGAACACTGTAAATAATAATAATAATAATAATAATAATAATAATAATAATAATAATAACAAAAGAATGGTTCCCTCAGACTCATAGCTGGATGTCTTGTCACCAGGGAGTGGCACTATTTGAAAGGATTATAAGGATTAGGAGGTGTGGGACACTGTTGCAGGAAGGGTGTCACTGGGGGTGGACTTTGAGTTTTCTTTCTTTTTCTTTGGTTTTCTTCTTTTCTTTTGGTTCTTCAAGACAGGGTTTCTCTGTAGCTTTAGAAGCTGTCCTGGAACTTGTTCAGTAGACCAGGCTAGCCTAGGATCTCACAGAGATCCTCCTGCCTCTGCCTCCGGAGTGCTGGGATTAAAGGCTTTGCCACCACCGCCAGTGAGCCCATGCCAAGCCCAGTGCCTCTGTCAGAGGATCAGGGTGTAGCTCTCAGCTACTGCTCTAGCTATGCCTGGCACCAAGCTCCCTGCCATGATGATAACGGGTTAACCCTCTGAAACTGTAAGCCAGCCCTAATTAAATGCTTTCTCTTGTAAGAGTTGCAGTGGTCACGGTGTCTCTTCATAACAGTAAACAGTGACTAAAGCAGCGCTCAAGTGCACCCTCTGCTATAGGCACACAAAATAATCGAAGATGCAAAGTAAGTAAAAATTTAAGGGCCGGGCGTTGGTGGCGCACGCCTTTAATCCCACCACTCGGGAGGCAGAGGCAGGCGGATCTCTGTGAGTTCGAGGCCACTCTGGTCTACAGAGCGAGTTCCAGGACAGGCTCCAAAACAATATAGAGAAACCTTGTCTCAAAAAACCAAAAGAAAATTTTTTTTTAATAAGCTAGAAACCTGGGCATGCTAGCACAGGTTCCCCCCATCCCCAGACAGAGTTTCTCTGTGAGTTCAAGACCAGGTCAACATAGAGAATTCCAGGACAGTCAGGGCTAATATGGAGGGACTCTGTCTCAAAAATCAATCAATCAATCATCATCAGGGCTGGAGCGACGGCTCAGTGATTGAGAGTACTG